TATTAGGAGAAGCTCGGAAATCGAATCGAGCATTAAGTTAGCAGGATTTATCAATATCATACAGTGAAATACTTCCGTAGAACACTCAAGTTGGAACTACTTTTTGTAGCACAAAAGATTTCATTGAAATCACTAATGTATTATCTCTTTGTAGATAGAGAAATCAACATTGTGCTTGGCACGTATGTGCGTTGACTCACTTTCCCATACCTGACTGTAGTATATATTTCATTTAATGTACATTGAGATCTATCAACATGGTGAGATATTTGCTTTTGTTTCTGCAACTAATTGCTTGTTTGTCGGTTTTTACTTTAGAACTTATTGCCTCGAAAGCAAAAAATAATTTTCTAGAGTTAGGTTAATCGATCGTTCGAAAGCCATAGAATTATGCTTCTTGCTGATTGGAATGCTGAAGGGAAGCGGAAAAGAGGAAGGCCAAAGAACACATTACGTCGGGAAATAGAGGCAGATATGAAAAGGATGAATAACAACTGGAAAGTATTGCCCAGGACAGGATTGGATGGCGATTGCAGGTGGGCGACCTATTCTCCTCCACGAGAAGTTACAGGCCCTCCTCAGAAAGGCTCACCAACAGTTATAAGGTTACTTATCTTTCACATGAGATTCGAAATCGCATCACCCAGTCTCGATATCAGAGACATTACCACTGTGCTCTTCTGGATGTAACTGACCAGTAAGATAAGTTATCACTGAGTAATTACCAGTATCACACTGATGTTGGGGCTTTTTACTACGCTCATTAACAATTAGTTATGCTTGCTACATTGTTGTGAATTTTGGCTATGCAAATATTCCTGAGTCCTCTTGAAGTGTTGTAGCCCAAAGCCGCCAATCAGAAGCAGCGAATTATCGATCGGATCAAGGACGCGTAAAACACGTGCGAGCAGCCTAGAGTTCTGATTGGTCCTGCTTTCCGCCTAGCCCAGCCAGTTAAGTCCAGAACGCCAATTTCAGCCTCTCCAATATGAATCATTATATTTCAGACATACTGAGTTTATATACCAATCAAACAGACCACAACGTACCAATAAAATATGAAACAACATTTGTACAAGACCACTGAGCCGGCATCCAGCGGTGTTAATGACCAACTTCAACTAATCCACGAAATTGAGCGACACATCCACCATTGTCTTCAGTGAGTTACTATCTCACAACATACCTGGTTGAACTCCACTGGTCACTACTTCTCACTAGAACTCCAGGATATACCTCTTGAAGCCAGTCACTAGTGAGCATATGTTGATTAGTATCAGATGGGTTTTGTGGATATTATAGTAATTTCAATGAGTAAGATCATGAGTCAGTTGAAGCTAGACCACCATGGAAAACCTGGAAGCATTGGACGGCCGTTTCGTCCTATTGTGGGACTCCACCGTTGGATACCGGCTCAGTGGTCTAGTGGCTAGGTGCTCGCGCGCGAAACCAGTAGGCCCTGGGTTCGAATCTTGCAGGGGGTGAGGTCGTGGGTGCGCACTGTTGAGGAGTCCCACAATAGGACGAAACGGCCGTCCAGTACTTCCGGGTTTTCTATGGTGGTCTAGCCTCTACTGACTCATGATCTTAACCATTGAAATTACTATAATATCCACAAAACCTATCTGATATTTGTACAAGAATTAGCCAGAAGTGGCTATGAATGAGGGAGGCAGGGAATAATTCAAGAATGGAAAATCGTATAATAACAGTTCATAGGTTAAAATAAAGCTTATGATAAGAGGGATATGAATATGAATAGTTTAGTTAATTAACAATTATACGACAAAAATATACGCACAGTATCGGTCCATAAATAGATCCCAAAAAATTACCACTCATTATTCTCATCTGGGCACAACATGTAGTAAGCCCATTCAGCTCTTGTATTATATATCTGTTCACTGTAATTTAGACACTTAATCCACTACGTAAATTTCTGTGTTAGTCTGATTGAGCGCGTGCTGCACATCAATCTTTTATCTATTCTCTCATTGGTTGTTGCACATAACCAATTAACACTCATAAATATATACGGATTTTTAACACACACTCACTCGTTTCACTGTGGGTTTGCTTCCTGTATACTTGTGGATTTTGCTAATGTTTAACAATAAACTATATAATTGGTGTTCAGGCTTTTGGATAATCTCCAGTAAATTCATAATTCTACTATGAGATTTAGCCTGCGTTATATACTGTTATCGGAATACTGTTTATTGGAGTCAGATATAGAAGAAATTAACCTCAACAAAGTTGGTGAGCCGCATTTAGAACGCTCACCATTTCTCTACACTCTAACGCAGCTGTCGTGTGCGCTAATTGTCGATTGTTCATATTATAATCAACCGTTTCTGGATCACCCATAAGAACACCTTAAAAGCCAGCCAAGTACTTTATAGTTTATCTGTTATTTATACTTAAAAATCTCGTGATTATATACATAAAGTCTAACTCAAATTATAAATCTCGATAAGACATAATACAACAATAACTAACAAGTTGGTAATTAATTAACCACAGGTTGTGAACGGCATGAGATATTGTAGAAAATAACAGTTCAAATGAGAGCTTACAGTTAGGTTAATATAAAGTACTATGAATTTAAGGTTTAGCGAATATATGTAGATGATATATAAAGTGGTCTCTAGCAAAATAACTCCCAGAGTTACACACTTCTTTCTCCCATTCTTAACAGTCAAAACCTTAATGATAAAAAAATCCTATCAACCAATTTATTATGTGGCCACTGGTCCGAGTGAATCGGCATCTCATGTCAGTCAGCTACAACGTAGGACCAGGCACATATATGCATCGGTCCAAGTTGCCATACCTCATTAACACAACAAGATGGACACCAGATTCATAAAAGTAGTTAATTCAGTGGTGATAATATATAAAAGAAAGATTGCAATAAGGATATAGTACAGGAAGAAAGAATTAATTCGTAGAAAGAAAGATATGAAGCGATTTTAATCTTACAGTTTAAGGGAAGACAGAGAGTGTATACACCGACGCCATTGTGATCGATCCTGAGCCATGTCACCAAGAGTCTCCAACCATTGGTTACGATAGTCACGCGGACCCCAACCAAGTAGTCTGCATCTACCAACATGGCTCAGACTAGAAGTTAGTGACTTCAAGCACTGATGCCACGTTTTGGTTTGGCCGCCCCTAACTTTCTTCCAACCATCCCGAACACCGGTTAGCATTGCACGTCGTGGTAATCGGTGTTCAGGCATACGTAACACGTGGCCCAACCATCTCAGTCGATGAAGATTCACTACCTCATCAACTGATTTACCATCATTACCTAATATCCTGGCGTCTAACCTCACTATTACTTACCCAGTGATCCCAACAGACGCCAGCAATATTTCTAAGGCATCTGTGGTCAAATACTAGTAGCTTATGAGTGTCTTCTACTCTTAATGGCCATGTTTCGCTGCCGTAAATTAAAACAGAACGGACTGCCGCGCAGTATACTCGTCCTTTTACTGATAGACGGATATCTCGCCTTCGCCATAGGTGACGTAAGTTGGCAAAAGCCAAGCGAGTTTTCCGAATCCGTGCTGAGATTTCGTCAGACACCAACCCATTAGGGCTGATCAGACTTCCAAGATAAGTGAAGTTGTCAACGCGTTCGACCACTTCACTCCCTATCCTTAGTTCAGATGTTGACGCAGACCAGTCCTGAAGCAACAACTTGCATTTAGGGGGAGAGAGGCATCTCATGTACGATGTTTTTATGCGAAGCGGTCGAAGGCATGGGGCAAGAAGTCTTCAACTAAGATTTCTTCTTGGAAGCCGTCAACAGGGTGTATCTGTAAACTCTGTGGGGGGGGCTCGAGCCCACCTTCTGGAACACTGACAAACGGTGTATCAATAGCGTAGTGGCATCTTTAAGTGTTATTGTGGTATGTGCTACTGATGTCGACAGATATAAGCAGTATGTATCACTAATCGAAAGTGAGATGGCTGGTTAAGATCGAATAGAATGAGAATTGAGAGGAAAGATCAAGTCTATGACAGTTGATTAACATTTTGCAAAGTATTTACTATATGGTTCTCAAATTTTACTAAGATACTTTATGTTGTGTTCAGACACGTTCGGTTGTCCTCACTAGTGTTCTCGTCCACTACATTAAGATATTTCATTCTAATAAATCAAGAAGTACCTAACTCAGAAACAACAAAAACTTCAGTTCTGATAATTGTCGTCTTCTTATTACATTGTCCAAAATTACCAGAACTAATTGCTTTAAAACCTGGAGTTTGGTCCTGAATCTGCGAATCAATAAGCGGAGGACTAGGTTAAACATTAGTGACTGTATGGCACATTAAGTAAGCACCGCTTTACTCTAAAAAAATGTACTGCGTTTGACGTGAAATTCTTCAACAAATAACGATGAATATTCAACAGTATCACCTATCTTCTAAAAAGTTCACAGGATTATCAGCTATATATGACATTGTCATGCAAAGAGAACCAATCAGTGTTGAAATTTCACACTTTATAACTATTGGTAGGTACTAGTTTTCCAGTGTAGCCACACGGAATTCTGCGTTATCAGAAATATTTACTTAATTACATAATTATCTTTCAATTCAAGTCTTTAAACAACGTTAACAGTGTAAGGTAGTTGGCGAGATTGTTAACTTGACATTACGGAATGCCTGTATTTATACAACAGCTGTTTCATCCTAGTATAGAACTCCTTGACAGTGGGTATCCACTGCTCCACCGAGGATCTAACCCCAACCTTTAGGTCTCGACACTAGGTAGCATCTCTACTTTACTTTCCTAGGTCCACCAGTTTCTCCAGTTATTAGCGAACAAATCGCCTACTTAGCTTCGTATTTCTGTGGAGACAACTAAATCAGTCATCAATACATGAAAAAAAGCGCAACTGACTGACCATGAGGAATTACTTAATGATCAACTTAATCCATAGTATGAACCAGACTTATGTAGTTGATGATAAAAAACACGACAGGTAATTGAGCATTACATTTATTGAGTGATTTGATTCATTAAGGACAGTTTTAGACAACAGCAATTGTTTATTATGACTATAAAAGTATCGATTGGATTATGCCAGATTTTACATAAGTCCTGTCTTATAGTTATCAATCGGTTCAAATCTCGAATAGGCACTTTAAAATGAAGTCCGTAGTCACAAACTACACCCTTCATTGAAGGTGAATCATCCCTACATGTAATAAATATTCCATGACATAAACACAATTGCCCTTCTACGCCCAAACCAACACTTGCTATCGTTTGATTGTGAGTTGACTATTAATCGAGGTTCGAATTGCGATTCTAAAAATCATATTGAAATGAATTTGGATTTTACCAACAAAGTAACGGAAACTATTAGGATGCAAGATGCCTAAGAAATAGTTAACACACTGTGAAATATCAAACTCGGAACTGGTTCCGGCGGATGCCGTTTTTTATAAACAAACCCGTTTTTCAAAATGCTTGACTTGATAACCAGGAATGTGGACGGTTCAATGTACCTTTTACAACTGCCTGACACCCAAGTGCACTTGCAGACAATCCATGTTCAATACCGAGGATTATTTTGTGAAATCAACATCGGTTACGACAGCTACTTACCCAGTCCACGCAGACTTTGATGTACTACATCAACTGGATTGACGCTAAAACGAGAGGAACTTGTTTGGTCAAAATGCGTCTCCCTGAAGTCATTCAAGTCACTGAATTCACAGGACATCAGAATGCAACACCCGGAAATCCCGTTTATTTCTCCATAGACACCCTTGTATGACTACACGAAATATCAGAGCCCACCTTTTCCCAATCAGATTGTCTTTGGGTACAACTTCTATCACTCATTTCGAAAAATGCAGCCACACAACACGATCGCACTAAATATCTACTATATTTCAAGTCCTAATTTCTGCATATAATACTTTCCATACACATTGATGACAGATATTCGACAGATGAGTAAGAGTAGGGATTCTAGAGACTTACATGAAAGACCGTAGACGGCCTTGTCTTGATAACCTGAGCAGCCAAGGATAAAAATTAGACAGACTAGCACTCGATTTTCGACACGGCCAACCCTACTGCCTACTTCGATTTAAGGAACCGTGTTGTTTCTCACCTTTAAGCAACGGTTCATAGGATGCATACTTAGCAAATGAATAAGTTATCAAGAGCTGTATCACTCGACTAGCTTATGCACAGAAAATCTGATAAAACTTGAAGGTCGACAAAACCTGTTTCCGATATCATTAGGGACGAAAATGCAAACCCTTGCTGCCTGGAAATTTGACAACGCAATCGCAAGAATCACGACTTCCAAGATGATTGGGAGTGGGCATATAAGCCAACAGCTATTAACTACCTGTGAAATGACAATTATGGAGACACTTTGAGGAAGAATCACGCCCAATTCGTTTTGCGCAAAGAACATGACGAACCAAACCGACATGAAATAACACTAACCAGCGACTAAGCTACGAACTGAAAGCCACATAAGATCCCAGTAACCACTCACGCAACACCAAATCATCATAGATCATTCGAAAATTATACTGAAACCCATCAAGGTATATATTATTTCCTAACCCTCATAAACATTTGAGTTGCAGTACGCTCTGAAGTGGCATGTTTATATCATCCTACCTACATATTTCCAACAAGATATAACCATCGCCTGGACAATGGAGCAGAATAGTTTTAAGAAAGTTAGTAACTATTAGAGATTAAAACATATAATGTATTGTCCTTGAGTGCATTGAGAAGCACTATGTGATACCATAAAACCTAACAAGCAACACTCACAAGAACTAAAAACCAACAAAATAATTTCAGGACAAACACTAAACACCGTTGGTAAATGAACTCACAAGCCAATGAAGAAATCAATTTATTAATTAATAGACATTGTACAAGGTCAGGTGTTATAGTTTATCCAAGAAGTTATCTAAGGGAGGAACGCCCGCTTTTAGAGCCTTACGTTTTCGCGCCTCCACAACTACCTGTCCAGGCTTTGAGTTTTCGTCGAGAGGATCACCAGGATAAATTTGCCAGTGGTCGAAGACACACTGAGGAAAAGCTTGCCCGCCAGTTGCAGCACGAAGATCAGTCGTGAAGCCTAAAACAATATCAGGTTACTAAGAATGAGTTACCGAAAGATTCATTAACCGGCATATAAGCTTTGGTAATACACATTGGACTGTCAGTTTTTCGTTCTTCTGAAAGTGTAATGGCCCTCTTGCGATTCAAAGTACTGTAGATGCCTCCCATAGCAGTGGCTGGTCCTTGGATTTCTACCAGATAAACTGGTTCTAGTAAGCATGGTTTGGCAGTAAGAACAGAGGCATAAAAGCATCGACGTGCTGTACCGATGATTTGATTACCTCCACGGTGGATAGCATCTGCGTGCAGTACTACATCTATGAGATTGAAACGGACTCCACGCATGTGTTCTTGACAAAGAACACCTTCTTTAGTTGCCCACTGGAACGCAGCGACAACGCTATCTTTTATTTCATTTAAATATTGAACTGCCTTAGTGGTATCGACCACAACATTAGGTCCTGTGTTCTCTGGACCAAAGCACCATAACTTTCTGGCTTCTGTAGCATCCCATCCGTAGTTGTCTATTAGATAACGAGAACGATCTTTTACGTCTTGATTAGCAGTGATTTTTCCATCATCAATGTCCTGTGCTAATTCTTCTGATAAAGGTAAGGCACGCATATACAGACGATTATGTTTGTTAGGGGATTTCGACAGACATGTTTGATTTGACTCCTCCGTTACTGTCTCACGATATGAAACTACGGGATTACTTATTTTTAAAGGAATGCAAGCATGATCTTCCTTGAGATCCTTGAGGCAAATTTCAAGATGCAGCTCACCGGCACCTGCAACGATGTGTTCACCCGACTCCTCTTGCGTTATCTAAAAGCATATGTGATAAATATTACAATAACCTACTTGGACCATAGGATCACTTTTGGAAAGACGGTTCAAGCCTTCAAGAAGTTTTGGCAAATCGGCAGGATTTTGACATTCAACTGCAACGCGGACTACAGGACTGACACTAAATTTCATTTGCTTCAAGTTATGAGCCCCCGCAAATGTTGTAATGGTGCCAGTTTTGACAATAAACTGATCCACTCCTACCAACCCACAGATGTTTCCACATGGAACATTCTCGATTGCTTCTGTGCTACGACCCATCATAAGTACAGTTCGTTGAATAGACTTTTCGTAAAGATCCTCTTTTTTCCCTGGAACGTAGTTGGGACCAGTTATTCTTACTTTTTGTCCTGTCCCGATTGTACCAGAGAACACACGACCAAATGCATAAAACCTACCTTTATCTGAAGTCGGCACCATTTTACTAATGTACATCATGACTGGACCATTCTGATCGCAGTTTTTCATTGCAATAGCTGCTTCATCTTCCATAGGTCCTTCGTAAAGCATTTCTATTCTGTACTGCTGTGAAGTGACAGGACTAGGAAGATGAATGCATATCATTTGCAGGAGCGAGTCGCCAGCAGGAAGCCACTTATGTAATGCTGTTTTCAGTCGTTGTTTGTCAGGAAGAGACATTTCAGTTTCATTTAGCGTTACACCCATCTTCGTTAGCAATTCGACTTGTTCTTCCTTACTTTTCTTCATGATAGTATCGAAAACCTTGTAGATCGGTGACAGTATAAACTGGTTAAAGCCACGAACGCCGTCAGAAGCTGGTTTTTCTTTAGTCCACTTTTTTGTTTTAACGTTGTAGAAGTTATCACCCCAAAAACGTTTAACCAATACACTTGGTTCAATTCCGAATTTGCTTGAGTAAAGTCTAGCAAATGTCATCAATGTGAACGCCCAACTTTGCAAACCGGAACCGAAACCTACAGTCCCTTTCACAACATCCAACGCCAGATCACCCATTGTGCTATTAGATGTTTCAAACTCTGAAATTATGACGTTAACGTTTTCAATCACTCTCTGGAACTTTTGATAAAGTTCTTCCATGTCACAGTTCAGAGTTGTGACTGCCATATCCATCTTATTCATGAATAATACTGGTTTGATTCGTTCTGTGAGAGCCTGACGTAAAACCGTTTCGGTTTGTACACACACACCTAACAAAATACCATAATTTAAAAGCAAATTACCTGATACACAATCAACTACGACAAGAGCTCCATCTGTTACACGAAGGGCTGCAGTGACTTCTGAGGAGAAATCGACGTGCCCCGGTGAATCTATGAGGTTTATGAGAAACCCTTTTTCTTCTTTTCCTTCTGAGTTAACAGAGACGGGTTGAATCGCTTTAACGCACTGGACATCTTCATCAGGCATTTCATAATATAAGCTGATGGCTGTTGATTTGATAGTGATGCACCTTTCCTGTTCGTCTTTCCGAGTGTCTGTAAACCGAGCATCTCCAGCGCGTGAGTCAGCAATAATGCCGGCCTTGCAGACAAGTGAATCTGTAAGTGTGGACTTCCCATGATCTACGTGTGCTATAACGGACATATTGCGGATATTCCGCTTAAAATCCATCATCCGACGCAACTCATCTACCGTGAATTTCACCTAGGGGAGAAAATTCAAAAATCCTGTTTGCTTTAAAGTACTTGCGAGCAACTTGACAGAATATAAATGTAAACAATCTATGAAGCACATGGACAAGCGTTATGGATAAGTCGACAATTCGTTGATGACTTAACATGCAACTCCCAATACATGTAGTCTTCGGATTCAACAACCACAATCTAGCACGCTAAGGCAACAGCTGCAAGTAATTATGGTTAAAATAGGATTGTACTTTGTAGCCCAAGTATTGCAGCGCATGTGGAACTTGGACCCCTTATCAAGTGACCTCATGGCTTTTAACTAAGACAACTACCAAATGGCATTTGTGAACTGTTTTAAAGGTGGAGAGACATGTTTAAATCGTGAGGTTAGTTGTTCAAATAATTGTGGACAGGATATAAGTTTTCGCTTGACGCACTTCCGTATCTAGAAGCAGGAGACCACCGAACCCTTCAGGTAGACGTAAGCATATTTAGCGAGCCAGTTAGAAATCGGCAAGTTATAGTGCGAACTACCCTGAGGTGTCAATAGTATGTCAAGTTTTCTCTTGAAGGACTTCTGGTTAGCCACTTGGGACGCTAGTTGTCAAAGAATTCCAAGATTTGATTACTCGTCGAAAGTAGTTGGAGATCCAGAAACCACCATAAGATGAGTCAGTCTCACCGCGTTATTTTATTACAACCAAGCAGACCATTTAAGACTTAATTATAAACTCCTTGGTGAATTACATTTTACAATTGGTCTCATTAAAACTCTGCACATTGTATACGAATATCTCCAGTTGCTCGGTAAATTAAATATTCGCCAGGTGGATAACCTACAACACAATTTGTACTGTTTGAGTCATCAACAGAGTTCCTAGCTAGTCCCCGGAAAATAATGTCCAGTCTATTTGAGAAAAATAGCGCACCTCTATTGATTTCGCGGATTTTGTGTCTCAAGCAAGTTTCAATGGGCGAGAACGTACCTAGGCTAATGAGCAAAAAGCCACCTAAGGTACCTGGTGACTTCTGCTCTCATATTAATTAGGGTGCGCACACTGAATGATACCATTGCCGACAACCTGTAAACACCGCAGGCAACACGCAACGGCAATCAACATTCAAAACAATTACGAGTCTCACTACCCGGCTATTGAGGCATGTTATGGAAACAACACGAACGCTCGCCATACGCAAACTTCATCGCCCATGTGGGACAAACAACACAACATTACACCTACCATCTCGCTGACGCCCGCTACCAGCAACACCACCTGAATTCTGTACAGTGCCACCGGATAAACTATTAGTAAAACACCATCCAATGTCCAATGTGTCTCATATCTTTACGATGAGTAATTCCAAACCAGTTTATTGCTTTGCGCCCGCATTTAAACTTCATGCAATGTTTTGTCTTTTAGGTAACTTTAAGTGTTGTGATCCCAGAATCTTGATTAAAATATTTATAGAGGGACAAATACGTAGCTATCGATTGGTTTACTTCGTGACTGAATGATTGAGTTGTACCAAGACATAAGGATCTCGGAGTGCGTTACTTTATTCCCATGTTTAATCATTTTATTGGTCACAAAGGTCAAAATGCCTGAGGAAAAATCTCGAAGGACTGCTTTCTGTGAGATCGTGGCTGAACTACGTGGTAAATAAGACTGGATCTCGTCTAATAATTCAGTCGACGATGAGTTCCTTCATGTCCGATTTATTAGCATTTTTCAGCATAACACGATACCAGTACTTCTACTTTACATGGATCAGAATCAATAAAAAATACTGACCATTCTCAGATGTCATTGGTCGAACAGAAGTGCTGTGCAGGTTTCACCCTAGTTGTTTGGGTAGTGTGTTCTGCTGTTTTAGATTTCTATCACTAAGCACCTTGAAACGCGCTGTAAAGAAAAGATAGCCTCTAATTGTTCTGTGGAGAACGTGAACTGCCCGTGACATTGGTCTAGTTTAATTGGTTAAGGATATGCGTTCACACGCTCCTTCCAATATGTCTAGTACTGCTACGCACCCACGTGGTTCATCTGGCCTTTGAACAAATTTCGATAACTCGGACGTCCTGTGTTGTATATCTGGAGCGAACTGTGAAATGTGGTTTGATCGTTGAAACTCTTGTAGGGGAAATTGTGTGAAGACGAGATTAAAAGGTAGGTGAGAAGTTCACCGTCGGTAAAATGATTGAATTTTAGGCCTCCCACATGGTGTTGAACGTGCCATACAACATAATACAAAGTTGGGAGTTCCCTGCCGAAAGCGCTATACCTCGATTCAGTGTTCTGTGTCCATCCCAAAGATTCCCAGAAGTTGTTTACTCTTTGCAGTAGGACTCCTCCGATTGACGGGCCAGATGCGTCTACAGTAATGCTAATGGGTGTTTTGATGTCCTGGTTCAGATGCTGGAGATGAGACTCTCTTTCCAGACTTGCGATAAAGCATTCATCTGCATGTGCGTGTACGAAGTTGAGACCTTGAATCAAGTCACCGGTGAATATTTGGAAATTTTGTATAGCATTTCTTAAACCGAAGGGCATAAACAGAATTCACAGTGTTCGAGGAGGGTAATGATACCGGTTTCACGGATGTCGTCAGCAGCGATGTAAATCGTGAAATATGCTCTCACCAGATTGACTTTCGAAAAAATCGGTTGTGCCCTTTAAAGTAGCTGTCAAATCGTAGATGCGTGGCAAGGGGTGACGATCGGAAGCGGTTCATGTATTCAGTCGCCAATAATCACCAGTTGGGTGTCAACCGTTGCCGTATTTTTAGGGACCATGTACCAGGAAGATGCCGATGGTTCGATGGTCGAATAGGTCCCAACTCTATCATATACTTGAACTCGTTTTGGGCCAAAAGAAGCTTTTCGAAGGCTAGTCAGCGCGCTTTCAAAAATACAGGTGGTCCCTATGCTAGTTGTTCTGTTGCCGATTACACGCAATTCTGGTCACGTTTTGTGCGATTTCAGGTACTTGTCGAAAACCCGTTAAAAATAAGGATCGAATTGTAACTGGGCATAATCAAAAACCAGAAGACGGAGTTACACGAACAGATAATTTGGTATTTCCGCGTACTAACCTCCATTCGCTTGGACTGATGAGTAGATTATGTTGTAGTAGGTCTATACCAATTAATGGCCTAAAAATATTTGCAACAACCAATGTCCAGTAAATGGGTTTGCTTAAATCCACATTAAAATAAGCATATCTCTTACCGTGTGCAGTGATCGGTTCTCCATTTGCAGCCTGGATGTTGAAGACCGGTTCATGCAGATGGTTGTTAGAACTCGACGTGAGAACGCTTACTTTGCACCAGTGTCAGCATGATAGCGAATTTTTGTCATCAAATCAGTGATGTACGATATTCGACTATGTTCTCCGGCCACGGTTGCTGTTAACGCGTGCAGGTGGGGGAGCTTCCAGAAGAGTTTTTCGTGTCAGACATTTTGGAGATTAGAGAACTTCAGGGTTTTATCTGATTTCGATAAGACCTGCCATGCTTGTTGTGATACCAGCACCAATCAGGATTATCTGTCTCCCACGACTTTGAGACTGATCGCTTTCGCGACGTAATTCTGAGAGTAATTCTAGAGTATCTATGATTATGATGAATATCAAGATAACGAGCGAGAATATGACAGAGATCTGTAGCACCATTAGTTTCGTTTGAGGCTCTTGTTTTTCAGAATAAACCTTGATGCTGAGTTTCTGATGATCTCCAAAATCTGATCGGTAGATGCGTCAAGTTCGTCCACGGAGTTATTTTGAAATGAGACAAGAATTGGTCGCACTTGTTTGGGAAGCTCAGATAAGAATCGCTGGTTAGATAGCCCTCGTCGAAAGTCAGTTGACCAATGGTCCCTCACATTCGCGACAACACTTCTGTTGCTGAGCCGTGTTGCAGCTCGATGTTGCGAAACTGCTTGTCTAACCTTTGCCGGTCGGTCGAGTCTCCACGTTTAAGAATAGCATCCCTCTAAGTGTCGTAAGATCCAGATACATAAGTAGTAAGCATGCTAGGCGCGACGTGCCGGTTAAAATCACGTGGTAGGGCCCTTGTAGTGGCATTGAGACCCAACTACGCAGTCCTCAAAGCTGAACACGGGACAGTTGGGGAGATAGGTATTCAACACTGAAAGCGAAGAAAAACCCAACGATGGAGAAGGCGGGGACAACGAATAGAGTGAATTCGAATTGAATGTTGTTGTAGACCTTTTAGTCATATTAGATATATTATTCTATCTCTAGCTTAAGTGTGTTCTCCATCACATATTGATGATTGTCACGACGCGATGAGTTGGTGTAGATAATAACGTGACTTCCACGTAAAATCTTATAGATTAGGCAGTTACATCATGAAAATTGTACAATTTTGGGATAAGTCTATTATTAGAGCAGTACTAATTGTAGAATCCAAACTACGGTTTGGATAGAAGAATAGCCGACCGGGGACTTTAGACACGCGCCCTTTCACGTCGAAATCAAAACAAGTAATCGGGCAAATAGCGGTTCTATAATTCATCATAAATTTAAATGTAAATCGTTACCTAAACAAATATTACCACCCGGCTATTCAACCAATAATTGTTCAATCAATCAAATCTAAATTACAATAAATAAAGAAATTGATAGAAGATGAGGGAAAATTACCAGTCACAACAAATGAACGTTATTCTATCCTGACTGGATAGAACACACACAAAAGGAGGAGCAAATGAATATGGCTACCGCCAAGAACAAGTGTCAAGTAAAACAACACAGATGCATTTCAGGAAGAAACACAAACTTAGTGAATGCGTAAGAAAAACAAAAACTATAATAAAAAATACAAGTATTAACAATTCAAATGTAATAAAAATACAACAATGTACAACTAGGGGGATCAATAGGAACAAAGTACAAGTATATACATGGAGGGATTTTCACCAACACACAAAACCTTCAAAATGGATCTTACACTAATATCATAGTAGACCATAATTCAACATTGGTGAGCCCGACGTGCCTGTGGAAGTCAGATTCTGCGTAACAGAACCAGGCTTCTATGTTGTCTGGCCAGAATGGCATCAGTTGAAGAATGGGAGGTGTAAGTTTTAATTTCAAAAATTTAGGTCTCTGTCCCCTCATGATGAAGATGAGATATACAAATGGGAGAGAAAAAATATCCGAAAATATAAAAGAAATATCACAACGCATAAAAATGAAATTAAAAAATGATGTGTAATATTCCAACAAGAAACAGCCTTACAGTTTATTGTTTAGTGTGCCAGACCACGTTAGGCCCATCAATAAAGATGCGTTTGGTCTCAATTGGCCAACAGTTACAAGCGATGCGAGGCACAGCGTACTCACCTGTAATCTGGAGTAGACACTTGACCGGCAGCCTTCATATAAAGTGAATCCAATAAAATTAATGAAGGGAGCATCAACCAAGACTCGCAGAGTTATTTATTTCGTTGTTATCATCATAAGATGAAATTTGAGTCAAACCAAGGAACCGATAAACTACTGATTTCCAGGAATCTTTTTTTGTACCTTTTCACTACTTGATCTCACTATGCTAGCCTCTGAACAGAAAGTTCCACTGTCAGGATCCTCTCACAGTCAGTACAACGGAGATTTAGTAAAATCTGAGAAATGTGGTTAAGGATAAGCATCCTTGTCCAGTGTTCAGTAGAAGTGTGATATCCAGCCTTTCTATAGCTTTTATGGCACTTTTCGTTCGTTCAGTGTTCTATTCCTGCATATCATAGTGCTGTATTTGGTGATGAATATTTCAACCATCCAAAGCTATCTGCTTGTCTCCTTTTAACAAACCACTACAGCACATCCCGACGTCCCGGATGACAACATTAGGAAAAAGGAAAGTTGAAGCTTCAGATGGAACGTTCAGTGAAATTTACGCTGTTCTACGCAACATACGCTCAATAAATTAGCGTGAAGATGTCTTGGATTTCATATACATTGCCAATTAAATAGGTTCACGAACAAGTATCTTGTCCTCCGTATCTTAAAAGTAGGAACACTTTGTGACTTGACACCAGAGGCTTTTATAAAGCCAATTAGCTGTTATGGGAGTATACTTTTCTAATCCCGCAGTGATGTTCACTCACACAGTGTTGACAAAATATTTGGAACCCATGATTCAATTCACTTTGAGATTTACGCTCCCTAATGAAGGATCTTGTTCTCATTTGGGAACTCTCAGTGGAAACGTGTTATCTGCCTTACAAATAGAGGACATATGTCTCGTGAGTCAGTATAACTACCTTTGTTTTCATATATCTAATAGTGTACTCACCTAAGAATTCAAAGAATTAGTCTTTTCCATTAAAAAGTCCCTGTGTAAATGAACCAACTTCAGACTTTTAATTTAAACTAATAGGACACAAATTTTC